TATACTATATTAAATAAATAAGCACACATACAATAATATCTTTCAGCAGGCTTATTACAATCGAGTCCATTGAATTAGACGCGATTGTCCCAAAAACTGATTTTGATTCTAAGTCTATAATTACAGAACTTATAGGGTCTGATTCGATTCCGATTCCTTGATAATTCTAAACCTGAGCCCAACAAGTTGCACTTTCTTCTCAACCCCGCTTTACTCGTAATGGTTCAAAATTGACCGACAAATGTCATCTCCCTGCTACGTAGGGATCTGCTATCAACAAAACGCAGCTAATGGGCCACTGTTGGGAACATTTTCCTTGTCATTATTTTTCCAATATGTGCTCCATTCCTGAGACAGCATTTTTGAGAGTTGAGCCTAAAAAAGGTTTTACTTCTTAATGGGGGCAGCAGGCAGAGTGCTCAAAGTCTCAAACATATATAAAAGCATAAATAAAACTATGTGGTTTGACCATGACTTGAGTACTTGAAGAGCCTTCAGTTCAAGGCTATATATCTTGAGTACTTGAGTACTTGGTTTAACATAAAAATTAGAGAAGCAGAAAACAATTAGGGTTAGACGTGGCAATTGGGTTGGGTGGGTCGGATTTGGGTTGGATTAAAATACTTCCAGTTAATTTCTGATTGGATTGTCAAATGTTAAAACCCTAACCCTAAATATTCAGGTTAGAATGGGTCAATTTGGGCTATTCTAAAAAATAATTGAAATTTAAAAAATAAAAATATCAAAATTAAAAGAATTAACTTTAAAATTCCAAATATAAAATAAAAAACTTGAACATTTAACAATTTAAAGAGTAAGCAATAAAAAGTAAAGACAATAGAAAAAATTAAAGAGTGGAAATTTCTAACAATGCATAAATAATCCTAATTAGACTTGACAATCGGGTCAGCGGGTTGACCCATGACCCAACCCAACCCAATTTTTTGGGTCGGGTCGGGTCATTTCACATTTGGGTTGCAAATATGAGACCCTACCCCTGTTTTTTCGAGTTGGATTGGATCAGGTTTGTGGGTTGGGTCAACTTTAATACAAAAACCTGATAACCAGGTGAATGGGTCATGGTTCAACCACCTGGGTCAATGGTTTTTGTAAAATAAAATATTTGAGTTGACCTGAACAAGTATCGTGACAATCAGCCAGGTCATTGGTCGGATTGGCTAGGACAATGACAGGTTGAAAACAGAGAAAATAATATGATTTCGTTGATATGGCAATTGTAGTTATTTTTAAAAGCTAAAATTTTAGAGGAAAAACTATGTTCCAAAAGGATTTTTACCAATTAACCCCCCCCTCCCCCAAATTTCATATAATCCCACTTGATTGGTTATCATTTTATGATATGGATTGGTTACAAGTTTTTCTTAGAATATTGAGGTGTCATTACTTAGAGTCACCATCGGCTGGTAGCCGACCCCATAAGGCTTAGGCTTAGATGATGATGATAGGCCCCATATGGTTGAACAACATTATTATTTACATATAAGAAAACTATGAACTTTGTTAATGATAATCCAGAACGCCTTAAAGGCAAACATGAAATGTGGCCCAAGATTTATCATCATTTGAGCCTAGTCCCATCCATATGGTGTCAGCCACATGAATCATGGTGAATGTAATGTGAAAATTTTTATGGACTAAAATTATCCTCAATTTCTTTGTCTGACAAAGGGTATAACAGTTATTTTAATATAGCTTTAATGTCAGTTTTAATAGATACTAAAATGCCCATATTTGTATATTTAATTTATCTCTAATTGTAAGGGTTAAAAATGTAGTTTCAATTATTACATTCCACCTCATTTAATCTCCTCTAATTAAGTCTTATACTTAAAGTATTAAATCTCATTTTCTCTTATTCAATTCTATATTTTAAGTTATTTTTTCAATAATAAATGCTACTAATTAGATCTATGTCAATATTTTTAACGGTATGAACCCGTATATTTTAAATTAGACTCAAAACCAAAACCATTCTTTATCCAAGTAGTGGTTAAACAATTCAACCATCCGAATCAAATTGATTAATCTACAAAGTCATAGTTAGGTAATAAAATTTTTAAAATAGAAATAAATATAGAAAATTTCAAAAAATGTAGAAAAATTAGATACATTTATGTATTTAGATTAAAAAACAAGTCTAACAAACAAAAATTATTTTTATTGATAATGAAAATTAAATTCATAATTTAGAATTGGCCAAAAATGAAATATAAAAATTAATAATAAATAATTTAACTTTTAGGTTAAATGTATTAAACTTTAACATCATAAATAAATAATAAAAATTAATAAAATACAAAAATAAAAAATACTTACATTTTGCAAAAAATCATTCATACACATGTATAGTATCATATATTTATCATATTAAACAAAAAGTAAGTGTAAAATATCAAAATTAGTTTCACACACAAAAATACAAAAAGCTATAGTAATTGAACACATCAATAATTCTATATTTACACTACTATTAAAAATATGAATAAGATTGTGAAATTTTCTTTTGACTAAAATATTCATTTTTTAATTTAATTCATCTTTAATTGTGAGGTTTATATAGATATGTGTGTGTGTGTGTGTGTGTGTGTGTGTTATTTATTTATAACTATATAATTTATATTGCATTTTTGTAAATTTGTTATGTTATTTATTTTTTTATAAAAATGTATATATATGATGAAAATAGTTGAAAAGATACTTATATTTTTTGTTTTTCTTTATTTAAAATGTTCTATTTTAATTTTCTTTTAATATTTTTTTATTTTTTTATATTAAATTGAAACAGGTCAGATCCAAATACCAGACTTCCTCATCAGATTTGTATTCAAATCCATATTTATGAGATTCAATTGGATATGTTGTTAATAGTATTGGATTATGTTCGGATATACCTAATTCGAATTCGATCCCGTCCCTACCAAGTTGGTAGCCTTGTCAATGATACCAAAAACTTCACAACTCAATTCGATTATCACATATTTGGATGAGGTGTTTATGTAATCAAATTTGGATTTTTCAATCTATATCCAATTAATAATAAAAAATATAAAATATAAAAACAAAAATACATAAAGGTTTATAGAAAATTTTGGATATATTATTACTATCATTATCATCATCTAGAATTGCCACGTGCATGCTTACTGGTAACCCTAAAACATGGTGGTGAAATCCCATTCACCTAGGTCAATGACTAGATTCTTTTGGGCCATTTATTAAAGCACTCCTTGTAATTTGCAATGGATTTACTTAATTGACATTCTATTAGATGACGGTAGAAAATGGCAGTTTTAACCTTAACGTCCATTTGAATAAACTTAATTAACAGAAAATAAAAATAAAAATATCATTTTTACCTCTAATAAGACACGGGCAACCATTCTATATTTGGTCAATCTTGTTCTATACAAAAAAAATGTTAAGGGTATTTTTGGAATAAACAATCATGGGTCCAATGGCAAAATAAACACTCCTTAATGAAAGATCAGTTAAATAAATAAATTACAAATTATAAACGGTATTTTAGTAAGTAAATATGTGAAACTATAGGGGTATTCTAGTAGATGACCCTTTTCTTTTCTTTTTACTCCCGGTAACCACACAATCCCCCTTGTATTGGTATGTGTCACTTTGTGAGGACACCTCTCAGTTCTCACCTCCCATAAAGTGAGAGGCTGTGGTATTTCTATATCTTATGGAATGAATAATGCTCTCACACATTAGTATAATGGGTTTGACTATGATATAAAAAAGATATGATATCTAAAAAACAACTGATCAATAAACTAGAATCATAAAGTTGAAAACAAATAAGATATTATTTATCAAAATTTATGGATGAATTTTGATTGATGTAAACCTTTTTCCATACCATATCTTTCCGGCATYGTAGAAAACAATAAAATGTAGCAATTTATCTCATCACTCCTTTGAAGAAGAGAATGACTCCTATAAATATTTGTCATCTCAACTGCCACGTGTCCTCTATAAAGAACTCAGGAATTCACAATCCAATGGACCAACACCAAAACAAGGACGATCAAATGCCACCTTTTGGCCAAATTTGTCCTTTTAGCCAAACAAGAATGGGTCTGTACCATACGTGGTAGTTGATGGCTCCAATCGTGCTTCATTAATACCAGGGCTCAGTTTGGAAGGAATATAAATACAAGTTTGTAGAGTATTAAACCTTATATTTTGTATATATTTGTACTGTATATATTTATATTTATACTCCTTTCAAACTGAGGTGCGAAAGTAGGCATTGAGTGTTTTCATTTACTTTAGTTGTAGTGACGGGTCCAGAGCTGCAATATTGGGCTGGCTTAGCCCGGCCGAACCTAACGTAAAAAAGTTGGATTTGGTTGGCTCAGGCTGAGGTAATTTGGGTTAGCGTTACGGTTGAAAAATATGAATCTAATTTAGCTTTGGGTCGGGTTAATGTTGGGACCTTGACATATTCGACCCAATCTAAACCCGATTTAACTTTATATTTTTTATGTATATATAAATATTATATAAAACATTTATTTAATTGAAGCATAAAGTCAAAATTTTTAAATGTAAGATAATTGTCAAAATTTTACCAAGTAGTTTCGGATTAGGTTAGAGTTAGGGTTAGGATCGAGGGATTCACAACTGGGTTGGGTTAGGGTTGAAATCAATTGCACTCTTACTTATAGAAAAATAAAATAGAACTGGAACAAATTAAAATTCATTTGTATTAGAATAAATGAAATTGCACTCCAAACAAACAAACAGAGCCAGATGTTTATAGTTGGTATATTGTCTGGGGGTTCATGATCATTACGGAAATTTAGGTGATTGACGTTTATTAAGGTGTACTGAAAGTCTAACACCGACAAAGGCGCGACAACTCATCATGCTCCGCCATTGGTTAGGTCGCACAAACAGAGACCCACCACCACTTCTATATAACTCCCCCTCGTCTCTAAATTCTCAACAACTCGCTGCAAGTACATTATCCGTGAGCAGCAGAGCCGACCCAGTTCTCTGACAGTCCTACGGTTCTACCTGTCCTTTCCCAAGACATGGTACAAACAAAGAAGTTCAGAGGCGTCAGGCAGCGCCACTGGGGATCATGGGTGTCTGAGATTCGCCACCCACTGCTGTAAGTGTAGGCTCAAGATAAGTCATGGCGAATTAGCATGATGATCGATCGAGCAGCTCTGCATTTTTCTTGCTTTGGTTGATCTTTTCAACTTACATGTCTCTCTACTCGTCTGTGTGATGTAGGAAGAGAAGAGTGTGGCTGGGCACCTTCGAGACAGCCGAAGAGGCCGCTCGAGCCTACGACGAGGCGGCGGTGTTGATGAGTGGACGAAATGCAAAGACCAACTTTCCGGTGGCCAGGGCTCCATCTGGGGATCCAAACACAAGCGAGGGTCTGTCAGCGTCGACACTCAGCGCCAAGCTACGGCGGTGCTGTAAGGCCCCCTCCCCCTCCCTCACCTGTTTGAGGCTCGACACAGAAAACTCCCACATTGGAGTCTGGCAAAAGCGCGCTGGGCCGGGCTCGGAATCCAACTGGGTCATGACGGTTGAACTTGGGAAGATGAACGCTCAAGCCCCAGAGGCGTCGTCACCGGCTTTATCGGAGAAACCAGAGATGGCGAGGGCAGATGCCAGAGGTGGAGTGACCGAAGAGGAGAAGATTGCACTGCAGATGATAGAAGAACTTCTGAGTCCTTAGCCATCGTATCGAATTTACCAAGGGGAACGGAGCTTAAACAAGTGACGGTTCCTGTTCTTTCAATATTTCATTCTCAGTGTACGTAGAAGCATATATATATATATATATAGATGTTAATATCCACTTGGGTTGATTTGGGTTTTCATTAAATGAACCTCTGAACCTCTGTGTATTAAAAAATTTACATAAAAGAGAAAGGCCAATTAACAATAACAATACTAGCTCAGTGGCCCATTTGAATCTAGCAAACTTGAATATATCTAAGTGTAACCAGAATAAAATAAAAGGAACTGATTTAAGATAGCTTCTTTATCCCATCTCACCCCTATCTTCTAATTTCTCTTTTATTTATTTATTTTTTAATTTCAGGTGTGTGTCAGTAAACAATCATCTTTGTGTTGTTTAATGGGTTCATCTTTCTGATCCATCTATAAGGAAAAAAAGAAATCAAAAGAACCACCAGATATTATTATGTTAAAATCCATCCATGCGGATTTATTTAATTATTTGTAGGGTGTACCAACTGCCTGAGAGCCACCAAATATCTTTATGAGATCCAATTAATTGACTGATTGTTCCTCAGTCAGTCATGGCTGAAAATTGGTCTTGATAGATGGCCAGTATATTGGACCTCGAGAGGACGGCATCTACCTCAGATCATGGCTGAAAATTGGTCTTGATAGATGGCCTACATATAGACTTCTTTAAAATATAAAGAAGAAAATCAAAAGAAAAGACAGACTCAACTTATGATGGGTTTTACCGTGGAAACTTTCATAAAATATTACATGGTCAATTAATGCATGAAAAATTCATTCCATTGCTGCCAAATCTGGAGTAGAAGGCAACCAACTAAAACTTTCGAGGTCAATGGCCGAGGGTTTTACCTATAAAGAATGAGAAGACATCAGAGGCCCTGGGAATATTCTCAGGGGTGAGGATTCCAACGGTTAAATTAGTTGAAAGCTAAAGGAGAGTCGATGTCACAACAAGAGAGTAAGTAGAGTAGAAAACTTAAGTGTGCGTAAACGTATACCTTAGGCTTTGGTGCCCTTTTATAGTTGGAATCACTTAGAAGAGTAGTAATGGGCAATTGATAACCATCCTGTGAATTCTGGTCATGAATGCAGCCATTACAGGGACAACAGCCAAGCGTTTTCCCATCATAAGTGTGCGGGAGTGAGTTCAGTCAGACCGTAACATATGTAATAAATGCTCCACAATAATGACTTAGGGAAATTATGACTATGCCCCTAGCCGAGGTTGAGGTGACAAGATTGCCCTTTGATAGTATCACGTGTCATTATCTGGTGAAACGAACAATTATACCCATGAAATTGTCCTTCAGCCGTAAAATGGCACAACAACCAAGCGACTCTTGATCCTGTGGTGAGTCACTAGAACTAGGGGTGAACAAATGGATAGGTTCTACCTAGAACCAAATGGAACCAACCTCAAATCGATCTTAAATCGATCATACCCGATCTATTATAGGGTAAGGTCTAGTTATAAATTCTTGAAATCGACCCCCACCCAAGCCGATTTCAAGGTCTAGGGGTTTACCCTACCCGAATCGACTCGATGAACCAACCTTGTTGGAACCTGCCTTGGTAGCGAATTTGAACCCAAGAATTCATGGTCTCACTTGGCCATTGAGTTTACTTGAAGTGATTTGATCATTTGTTTTCATTTTAATATTTGAATGCGTACAATAAGTAGTGTAAAGGGTAATATTATAAAACTTAAATTTAATTTATAAGTTTTTAACCATATAATGATAATATACATATTGAGTTATCCAATTTAATCAATAAAGATAATATAAGTTTTAAACTATATATTATATTTATTAAAAAACAAGTTTTTAAAGAACATGTTGTTTTTTTTTTGTTGAAGGGGGACTGACCCCTAGAACCTACCCTGGAACCACCCTAGAGCCACTAGGGTAGGTTCCAATTCTAAAAACCTGGAATTGGTAGGGTCTAAGTTCTACCATGGAACTGAAGTGAACCACCCCATGCTCACCCCTAGCTGGAATGTGGCACAACTTGATGAGGGGGGATGCTTGAGGAGTCCGGCTACAGTCAGGTCCAAGCCTGTTCCAACAGCCTTGCGTTGGGAATATCCCCGTAGTTATGTGATTTATGTCATGGGAGGTATTCCCAATGCAAGGATGCAAGGGGCTGCTCAAAGGGTGCGAGCACTGACCTGCCCTGCTCGAAGGGGTCGCTCGTTGCTACCTTCTTCGAGGGCCTAATATCCTTCCCACTTCAACGGGACGCTTCTATGTGGTGCCCTTCTTCTAAGCAGCCTCGGTATCAGCCTTTTTTGAGGTGGCAAAATTGCCCTTGGGTAGTGTCATATGTCGTTACATGGTGAAGCAGCCAATTATACCCACATCATTTACTTAGTCTTTTGAAAACTAGGTCAAACACACACTCAATTAACTATATCATTTGTAGCAATAAGCTACCATTAAAACGATTAAGACCGGTATCAATAATAAATCATCTTTGTTAAATGAAGAAACTACCAATATTGTTTAAAAAGATAATCAAAATCCATAATCACGAGAATTTGGCGAAAGTTAATGCCGTCTACCGACATGATGCAACCCTCTTTCGGTGTAGCCAACTTAATATGGTTCATACAAGTTTTGGGTAAGGATGATATCAAAAACACAGCGGATTGGCTGAATTTGCTCGAGACTGAACGCAACAACTTCACCATTGAAACCTTTTAAGAAACCAGCTAGCAAAGTGTCTTTCTCATTGCGACTATTCTACGACCCGTACGTGGAAAAAAAAAAAAAGGCATGCATGTGTAAGTAAATTGCGATAGATAGAGACTGGAATAGCCCAAAAATCAGATATGTAATTGGCAATTTTAAGAGGGTAGGTTGTAATTAAAGGAAATGGTAATACATCCTTCAAAGCCTTTCAAAACTTTATTTCCCAAGTTTGGTGTAGCCAAGTGCCATAAGTCCATGTGATGGGTTTACTTTTAATTTGTACGTACTAAGGCGTGGGTACTCCTAACACAATATCATAAAAGCTAATTGACTAAAAGAGTAGGGATGGTCCAATCAGTAGGTTGAAAACCAATTTAATTTACACTGTTCAAATGTGTACTGTTGTATTTACAGTACTGTACATATATAGTGTATTTGTGCTCTTTCCCAATTGAACCTTGTATTTATACTGTGTACATCCTTCTTCTGACCCAAACACTTAAGCTTTTAATTTATTTCCACCCTTTTTACAGTAAAAAATTTTGTTTTCCACCCATTCTGAATGTAACTGATAACCGGAAAAAAAAAAAAAAAACAAAGGTTTTATCAAGAAAGAAACAAATATGTAGCTCAATTATTTCAAACATGAAAATTTCCCTCCATTTTAATTGAAATAAATGGAGGAGCTTTGAGAATATCACTGTTAATTAAGTTGCAGTTTAACAACTGTAAAATACATAATATGTTTGGTTAGATAAAAAGAAATCAGCAGGAAGTTTTTCTTGACCCGCGAACCAATCATGGCTCTGGGTCCAGTGTTGGACCCCGCCAAAACCGTCTGACTAGGCTTCAGAGTACTGGATGGTCGGTCCATTGATGACCTGGGATTCTGGGAAACAGTGGCCAAAGCTTCTAGGTCGATTTTTAAAACCATGAGTTTTTGTCAACCTGGATTTATCTACACTTGACTGGATCCCTTATATATTATGGGACGTTTGTTTTTTGGGATTTTGAGAGGGGGCCATCGATCAAGAAACCCATTTTTTTATTCAGATTTATGTGGGAATGAGAAAAAGTTTATGGCTAAAATGTGCTTACCTTGATAAATGTTTCCCAGTAAATACTTAATTGGATAAGTGCATTTACTCAAATAAGTAAATTACCGAAAAACGAATAGAGCCTAAATTCAAATTAATCAATGAAAATTCGTCGTGATGGTTTTGAATTGGTAAAACTCTCAAAGGAGACAATGGATACATCTTCTATTTGAGTATTAGGGAGTAAGATAAGATCAACTTGTTATGATTATGACAAGAATATTACATGCAGAGAGAGGTTGAGATTATGGGTGCAAATGGATCGGATCATGATCGGATCTGATCCTATTTGGTCGAATGCAGATCACCCCTGTTCGAATCTTCAGATTGGATCAGATTCGAATCACCCCTTATTCGATCTGATATATATGTTATTTATTTATTTATAAATATATTTTTATAAATGTGTTATATTATTTATTTTTATATATGTATATATGTGATGAAAATAATTAAAAAATACAAGTATTTTTTATTTTTACTTTATTTAAATTAGTATATTTTATTTTTCTTTTAATAATTTATTATTTTTTAAAGAAAACAAATCATATCAAATCAGATCCAAATATCCGACTTACCGATATGGTTTATATTCAAATTGAGTCCTATCAAATCAGATTGGATCGGACCCGACATAAACAATGTCAATAGTCCGACCCAATCCGTTTGCATCCCTAGTTGAGATGGATTAGAATATATATCTTAGGATAAAATTTATCGGTTTTTTTTTTTATTTTTTTTATCTTTATCTTCCTCTAATTGTTTGTAACGTGTTCAATAGTAAATGTAATCTTTCCAAATTCTATGAAATCTTTCATTGGGAGTTAGACCAATCAAAACCATCCCATGAATTTTTGCGCCATCTATCCTTCCAAACAAAGCGTTAGAGTTATGTTGTCAGTATGTTCTTGTTGGTATATTTGGCTGTACTCTAGCATTTTTATTTAGCTTCTGAAAAATTAATAATTATTATATGTGTTGTTAAAAGTGGTATTATTATTATTATTATGGAAAATTTCTGATTAGTACTTTTTACTTTAAGTTTAGTGCCATTTCGGTCCCCAAACTTTAAATGAGACAATTTAATACCCGAAGTTTTAAAACATGGCAATCCAATACCTGCTGTTAATTAACTGTTAACAAAGTACCAACCATTAAGTGGCATTTGAAAAGAGATAAATGCCCTTCGAGTGTCATTTAATTTTTTTTTCGGCCATCCAAACATTGACAAAAAATTAACAGTCTCAAATCCTTGCTTCTTCTATTTAAGAAAGTTGAGATCACCAAAATGCCCACTCAAACGTGACCCCAACTTTCTTGAATGGAAAAAAGCAAAGATTTGGGATTGTTAATTTTTTGTCAACGTTTAGATGGTTGATAAAGAAAATTAAACAACACTTGAAGGGCATTTGGGACTTTTTTAAATGCCACTTAAGGCTGGTTAATAACTAGTTAATGGTAGATACTGAATTGTCACATTTTAAAAGTT